GGCACGTATGAAAATCTGTCCTTTAACCAGACTTAAATAAAAAAATAATTTACTCCATGATCATACTATCTCCGAATGAAAAAGAAAGGGGAATACGTTGGTTAAGTTATGGCGGCGATGGCCCACGATTCTTTAAATAATATCTGAGAACCGGCTGATAAACAGAAAGAAAAGGAAAATAAGTGGATATTTAATATATTTAAATGATAATTGAGGTAGTATTTGCTAGATAAACCCAAGTGCTATTGAACGGTAGCAGGTGGGCATCTGTGTAGCCAAAGAGATAGATGCGAATAGGTTTAACATAGGAAAATAACTCCTCTTCGCTCGCGAGGGTAGGATGGCCGAGTGGACTACGGTGTCAGAATTGCACTCGTCCCGGGACAATGTCGAAGGTTACAGGATCAAATCTCAGCCAGGGCGAAACGGAGTTCTTCATCAGGATACCAGAGGGAGCGCGAAGCGCGTCAACTACGTGAAGGAAATCATCCCCAGCAATACCATCGATAGGGGTATGCGCTTCAACGAGTATGGATATGAACACTAGGCGGGGAGCCGATTCTCAAGGCAGCGACGCGGTGGGACCGGCCGTTTCCTAATTTTAAGGAAACGCTTGCAGGTACTGTTTCCTTTTTTTTTTGAGGAAACGTTTCCTGAAAACAACACAACACCTACTTACTTTTAGGAAACTCTTCGCGCGGCGGTGTTTCCTAATTTGAAGGAAACGTTTTCGTGCTTCAATGTAACAGGAGTTTTGGTTCAAGAAATCGCGTTTTCGTCGACCAAGGCAATACCGTTTTCTTCATTCAAGACTTCGTTTCTTGTCCACTTTTTTCAAGTATCCAATTTTCTTAGGTCAACACGGCGTCGCCTTGAATTTAGGAAACGTTTTTTTCAGTGTATCCTGAAGCGCAAGAGTCAAGCCACCAATTCCACAACGGATTAGGCTATCTTTTTTTCTTTTTCTATTCTTTTTAAAGTTATTTGAGGTGTTTAATCCATTTGAGGATTCTGCAACCTTAAATGAGCATCGGGTTAGGGTTAGTGCACATCCATGCTCCAAGCGCTCAATTTTTCAGGGATTGAGGCCGAGTGAAATCTGTTTCTGCAGATCCACTCGTCAGTTTCATGAAAATTTGTCGCCACCACTGAGGGACCTATTGACCTAGAGTCAGACGCGCTGACCACCCGGCCAACCTGGCCGGCGAATTGGGATTTCTTTCGCAATATCCTGAATGAGTCAATCAAATTTGCGAAATTGACTTAATTCCAAAACTAGAAGAGCAGAGAAGTTGAGAGAAACCGAAGAACTGATCGTGTTGACTGCCGCCGGTCATTAAATACGCGAACAACGGTCTCCACCTTCCCCCTAAATTTTGTGAGAGAGACTCGCTGCAAGTGGCAAGAATCTAGATTCTACAAGGATAGACAACATTTTGAAAAATTTAACTGAACTACTACAAACAAAATCACCGAGCTATGTAACGAGAGAACCTATAACTACTTAAGAGAATCAAAACCATATCCTTCGCAACGGATCATTCACTCCGGAAGATTACTAAGTACGTACATGCATACAGAGAAATTGGGATGAATAGTTTCTCTGTTTGTTAGGTACTAAGGTCAAGTTGTCCTCCTCCTCGGACCTCTCTCTCATTTCCAACATACCTGCCCTCCCCCTTCCCCCCTCTGCTGATGGTATATCCCTTGCTGATGGTATATCCCTTGCTGATGGTATATCCCTTGCTGATGGTATATCCCTTGCTGATGGTATATCCCTTGCTGATAGTTTATCCTTTGCTGATGGTATATCCCTTGCTGATAGTATATCCCTTGCTGATGGTATATCCCTTGCTGATGGTTTATCCTTTGCTGATGGTATATCCCTTGCTGATGGTATATCCCTTGCTGATGGTATATCCCTTGCTGATGGTATATCCCTTGCTGATGGTATATCCCTTGCTGATGGTATATCCCTTGCTGATGGTATATCCTTTGCTGATGGTATATCCCTTGCTGATAGTATATCCCTTGCTGATGGTATATCAATACCCGTATGCCTGGTTGAGGCCTCTTTAAATCAATGTTTTTCTCGTAGGGAAGGCGCTGAATCCTGATGTGTTTCGCGGAGCTTTCAGTCGGGAACTGTACGAGCCGCTCTCGGTGAAAATCCTGAATCTGAGCGGGAACCAAATTCACTCGTTGAGCCGAAGCGTTTTCGAGCATCTTCAGTTCTTGGAGCAACTCGACTTGGACAACAACCCCATCAAAATCGTCGACCACACCACGACACTAGCTTTTTCCACTTTGTCCAGACTTAAGGTACAGTCCTCCAAATGGAAGTCATTTTTTGTGGGTTTGAGTTGCATAATACCAGCTACACCTTGATTGGGCGGAAATAGATAAATGTATTTATAATACAATTAAAATTTTTGGTCATATAGTTGGACATAATTCGTCGATTCTCTCACAAAAGAACATAACTTCAATTCAGCATTGAAAAATTCTTCCTCGCAAATTATATTTTCACTAGGAAAATTCAAGGCATTCACCTACAACTGAAAATGTCACTGAATTTTTCTCCGATTCATCTTAATTTCAATTGGATGTCTGCTAAACGGAACTAGAGACAGATGGAAAAGAAGGGGTGCGCTCGTTAATCGAGGGCCGTAAGAATGAGTGGGAATTATAAAGCGCCAGTGACGTCAGCGGCAACGAAGTCGTCTATGTTGTCCCTCTTGGTCGGCACTAGCTTAAGAGCCCTGTCCACAGCGCTCTTTTCCCATGCCCACGGCTCATGAGTGCCGCATTGGTAGAATGTCAGATCCCGCTTTTCCATTTTTCCATTTTTTCCATTTTTCCATTTTTCCAAGGAGAATCACGCCCACTTTAACTTTGTTTCTTATCCACCTTTCTAGAGCAAACTCCACATTTCCTACTCGTCCGTTTAGCAGAAATACGTCCAATTAAACGATCAGTAAATATGAAAAATATAAGTTAAAATAGTGAGGGTTTCTCCTAGAAACCAATAAAAGTTGCAAGATAAGGCTGATAACTTTTTCCTTTCTTCTAATCATGTTAAAGTATCAGGTACAATTAGGACTTGTACCCTAACTCAGGGGAGGAAGAAAGCTGGTAGGACATCTCACTCGTAGGACTCACTGTAATGGGATAAAAAAATGGGGTTGAAAAAAGTAATGGGAAACTTGTGACAAGGGAAAAAATTAGGAAAAATGACCTAGCACCGTTCAGTTTTTAACTGAAATACTATTTCTTTTAATTTTTGGACCTTGATGTCCTCGCAGAATGGCGTTAAGTAGTTCAGTTATCAAACAAATTATAACATGAAAGGAAATTCGTCAGCCCTCTAGCACATTGGCGTACTTGCTTCTATGCGTGAGCCTCAGGAGGGATTGAATTATGTGGAAAACGGGGCTCACACGGATACGCCCTTACGGTAGAGGGATGACGAATTAGACAGCATGAAACGCAGGTAGGCTGATTTCGGTTAAAACCGTCTAATTCTTTGGGGAGGGATCAATGCCGCAGAGAATGAATTTCATTGGAACGGTGCGAAGTTTCATACCTATTTGATACTTTATCTACTCTTTCAGCGGTTGGAATTTTTCAATATTTTTTTACTTTCAACGTGCAACGTGTGACAAAAATCCGATGAAATTTTGAGTTAAAAAATGATGATAAGTCGATCTCGTAACAGATAATAACATAAATTAGTAGTAAGGCGAACTTTAAGCGCTACAATTAAATTAAATCCCTTAAACTCTTCTCACCTTATTATTTCGCATCGCAAAATTATTCGGGATTTCGTCTCTCGGAGATACAGTTGCGCAAAAGAAAGAGAAAACCGGAAACCAACTGTAATATGAAGAATCGCGGAACGCGCAATTTTGGGTAGCGTCGTGGGTGTGAAAGCGATCGGACAACGAATGACAAAGATGAAATCACAAGCTATGAGCTCCAAAAAGACTGACAGACGGAAGGCCGAAAATGTGGGAGACGGTTGCTTTTATAGTAATAAGGACGTCACAGAAAATTTCATGAGCAAAGAAGCGTTTGACTAGTTGGACGTTAAATGGAATATCATAACGATCAATAATAGCTTGACAGTAAGTTCTTGATAAAGCGTTACATGAAAAAGAGAAGAGAAAATCACAAAAAGCTGAGGTTTCGATAGAAAAGGATTGTAGTGAGATGGAAAAGGACAAGAGAAAAATTCTGAAACTAAGCTGCTACCTTTCACAGCACAAAGAGGTAGGGGGTATAAGTCCCAGCTTGGATATTTCCAATTAACCGTGGCAATACCCCAATTAATTAGATTACTAATCTAAATTTTATCGCACTACCCCTACTTGAGTTGTGGTATTACAGAAATTAATTGGAAATGTCCATATCATCCAAAAAATTGAGGTACTTTCACAATTTTAGGGGATAATCCTAAGTTAAAACTTAAGGAAAATCATCCTCGTGAAAATTGCGTAAATCGCAAGTAATCAGCAGTCACCAGCAATATGCAAATCACCAAAGAAAAACTGACAACTCAGCAATAAAAGGAACAAGACTACAGTACCAGTGACTTTGCTTGTAGAGTAAATAGTGCTGCATAAACATGTGGTATGGTAACAGGCACACTCAAACCCAGGAGAGTGTGTAGTGAATTCCCAGGGGCAACTAAACTAACTCCGCAACAAAGCGTAGAGCATCACGAAAAATTGAAGGCGCTCCAAGTCGAGATCGTACTTTCAAAGGCCCATGAAATTATCTTCAAGTCCTTGCGTATTATTGCGATTTATCGGAACAATCCCTTTGAAAATTGCCGGATATTGCTAATTGCTTGCGGCAAATCACGGATTGGTGATTTAACAATTAAATTGTTAAAGAATATGTCCGACATGTTCCAAATGTCCATTTTGCAATAGTGGAAAGCTTACTCTTAACCTTGAGGGTGGTTAAATTGACATTTTTTTACTATGAAATCTACATTGAAACATGTCGGGCACTTGTTTTGACTACAGAATTGTTAAAGCAGCAATTTCATTTTTTCCATGAGAGAAACGAGGGGAAACGGGAAAAAAATAAAGAGAAGGGAAAAAGGGAAAAATGAAACAAAATAAAATAAAATCAAACAAAGAGGCTACACGCGAAACAATGTCCATGTGTCATTAGTGGGTGTTTTATTTTTAGGTATTTTCGTTTCTTGTTGTTTTTTTTTTGTTACCTATTTGTCTATAAGCTTTGAATATACTTCTGTACTAAAACAAAAATAAATTAAATTCAAATTCAAATCTCTTGATAGTGGTTGGACATGGGTTACACGCAACTGAAGAAGATCCCAGGGGAGATGTTGCGGCACACCCCGATCCAGACGCTGTACCTGAACGGGAACAAGTTGGAGGCGATCCCTCGGGAGCTCGGGGAGCTGCGGCGGACCCTGACCTCGCTCAACCTCAACGACAATCTCATGATGGAGGTGAGTGCCGGGGACCTGAGCGACCTGGGCAAGCTGGAGGACCTCGAGATGAGCGGCATGTCCCGACTCAGGCGGATCCAGGCCAGGTCCTTCGTCCATCTCACCGCTCTCAGGAGGTTCGTCTGCTCCTACAACCCAGTCCTCAGCGACGTCGGCCCGCATCTCTTCCATCATCCACCGGAGGAGGTCAGTACAACCATAGAGAAAAAAAGGAGGTGTTTGCATCTTGAGGTTTGTTTACCCTATGACGTAGGTCGGTACAACCTGACCAGCGAAATCCGGAATTCGAAGTAGGAAAAACGGACCATAATGCAAAATGACCAAATGAGTTGATTTAAGCAAAATTTTTTGCTTAAATCAACTCATGATATAATTTCAAGCACTTTTTATAGAATGACGCTCTTCAATAAATTACACCGTTTCCAAGAAAATCGATGATAAACGTCGCTGTACCGATCTACGTCATCAAAAAAATTCCAAGATGCCCGAAATGCGAACACCTCCTTTTTTTTCTCTAAGCAGTACAAAATGCGTCTGCCCCTACAATTGGACGTATTTATGCTAAAAGAAACTATGTGCAAGTGGAAAGATGGGGTGGGCTTGTGGAAGCTGCATAAGAAACAATGTAAAAGTGGATATAGTTCCTTTTGAGAAAATGGAAGTGCGGGATTTTCTATTAAATCAAAATGAACTGAGCGCTAACTCGTGAGTCGTGGGCATGTAACAAGAGCGTTGTGGACAGGGCTCATGAGTTAAAGATCTCCTCGTCGTGCCTCCTTGTACGTTGCCGCTGACGTCACTGGCGCTTTTAAAGTCCCATTCATTCTTATGGCCCGAGCACTAACGAGCACACCCCATCTTTCTACTTGTACATAGTTCCATTCAGCATAAATACGTCCATTTAATCGCAGAGCCTGACAAAAAATTAAAATAGCCCTATCTCAGGTCATTCCGCGACTGTCATTCGACTTGCAAGAAGCAATACTCAAATTCCTTTTGAAATTAAGTTGCGAGGAACATCTAGGGTGCTTTTCTCTGAGTATTTGAACGTTCAAATAAAATTGTACAACTCACTTGTACATAAAAATTAGTTAAATTGCGGACGCGTTTCGCCGGCTCGCGACTCCTCGTATTTGAACGGTTTCGAATCTTGACTCAATACAAAGACTGTTTGATTTCTGCACTGATTTTAACCTGGCGTGAAAATGTTTCCAATTCAACAACCCTATATTTCGAGCATAGTTGTTGGTAATCGTAGCTGCTTCAAAAATATAAAAACCTAACTGTTTAAGACCCTGAGAGGCGCTTCCCCGTTGGAGTGGAAGGAATTGAAAACTTATGATAGGGAGGCAGAGAATTAAGTGAATGATTGAGAGACTTGAACGAGTGGGCACGAACAACAACCTGACATGTTCAGCGTCTGAGGGTGCATTATAGCCCTCAGGCATCGATTGTATGGACATATTTATGCTAAAAGGAACTATGTTACATGCGAACCCGATGCACATAGTTCCTTTTAGCATATATTTTTCCGCATGTTACCTACATTTCCTAATGTTAGAATGTATTTAGTTTAAATGAGGACTTCTTTATATTCCGATTTTTAAAATACCTAAAAAAGGCGAGCGTATATTACGTCAGATTTTCGCGACGAGAAACGGTCCTGTTGCGCCAGAGATGATTTTAACATTTCTTAGCAAAATCACAAAATTTATGCGGTTGGTTTGTAAGGAGAATTGTCCATAAAAACCTGCCACTGTCACCTGTATCACACTAAATATTCGCGGTTTTTATTCTATCTTTTTCTAGATGTGTCTTATAATATTTGTAGGCCGTGGATACAGCTAATGTGGAAAGAAACATGTTTTAAGGGTGTCAGCAAGTGATGTTGCTGTATGGTTATTTCTCATGTTTGCATACGGATTTTAGTCCAATTCTAGAGTAGTTTCAAAAAATTGTTGGGGTCATTTTCCTTCTTAGATCTCTAAAACTGATTTTTTTTGTCTCATATTTTGTAACATATTTTTCTCTAAGTTTTAGAGCAGAAAGATTCCGAAATGCTACCATCGCAATTTTGCTAAATATGGATTCGTGCAGTCTGTTTTTATTCCACTTACACACAATATTTTATGTCATAAAATACGGCGCCGTTTTTCAATTTTAGACGCTTTTTCCGAAATAAAAAAGGTGTAATCTGATCCTTCCATTCATTATATTCTGCAATTCGTCCAATCCAATGAATCATTAACATTGGCATTGATTACCCGAATAATTTAAATCATCAGTTTCTTTTTGTTTATTCAAGGTAATCATGAGGAATAATGCTCTATCTACGCTGTTGAAGGATGTAACGCAATGGGATCACGTGAGAAATTTGGATTTGCAAAGCAATCCCTGGAATTGTGACTGTCAAATTGGCTGGTTGATTTCCTTGATAGCAATGCGATCGTATGAAGACCCTGATTTCTTCATGGAAGTAAAGTAAGAACAGAAAAAATTAAAATTGTCTTAGTTGCACTCTAATCACACTTCCCGATAGTTTTACTTTGCCGTTATTAGGATCCCATCTTTTAGTTTTTCAAAATTGAATTAGCTGAGGTTAGAATTACTTTTACACTAAATTCAAGAATAATTCAAGTGAAACCTATGTTCGTTTAAGCCGAGTTAAAAAGTTGGCCTACCTCAAGCACGGGTAAGATTAGAAATCCCCCTCCTCCTATATGAAGAGAACAGAGCGTGATTGCGTTGCAAAATGTAGCTCAATAGTTTATTAATTAATTCAAAAATGGTTTGAAATATTTTTTGTGCAAATTCCCTGCATGAATTTTTCAAGACTTCCTGAAATTTTCGATACGAAAGATAAACACCCTATATGAAGAAATAAGCAGGTTTTTGGGTGAAGTTTTGGACCCTTCCAGTGCGATTAAGCCTCACTTGCTCTGACATTTTCAAATATTTAAGACACTGGTTAATTTGCAGCTGCCTCATTAATGCTTGACTACATCCTAGTGCCTTCAAACAGATTGACGAGCAATTTCAGCTACTTTGTGGACACAATTAATTAATACATACAAACAAACACGTAAACGCAGGATGTTACAAAGATTGCAGATTCCTACGCATTTTCTCTTTCAAATTGATAGTCATTATTTTTGTTACTTCAAAATATTCGAATTTCTAAATTCCTAAATTTAACCCCGGGACACCTTGTGTGATGTCTCTTATTCACGCAAAAAATAGTCAATGCTGAAGACAGAGCCTTCTGTTCACAGGGCTCCTGCACTTTTTTAGCGTGCAAGTAAGCACTTTTTTTGTTATATTTGCAGAAAATTTCGGTCGTGAGCACAGAGTACTCTGTCCCCACAACGGAAACTTTTGTAGCTGTAACAAAAAACGTGCAGAATCCTTGTGAACAGAACTATTTTTTCAGTGTTATCGCATATAAATTGAAGTTTTCTACCATGAATTGTATTTAGTTCGCTTATTGTAATTCTTTTTTCATACCCCTCCCCGTTTGATCCAATTAACTCGTTGAATTCGTTGATTCCGTGGACACAGATGCACCTCACCGGAGTGGCTGCGCGGCTACCGACTTGACAGCCTGATCGAGCACATCAAGACGATGTGCCACTTCTCGACGAGCGGCGGTCACCCCCTGACATCGAGCAAGACGCAGCTGCAGATGACATCCCTGGTGGCGGGGATCTTCATCCTGGCGGCTCTAAGCGCCTTCCTCATCCGTAGCGGGCGGCTCTCACCCCCGTGCGCGATGCCCCGGCTCTGGTTCCTGAGCCTGAGGCCCGGGCGCGAGACCCGACTCCACGGCTCCGTCCAGTCCAGCATCAAGTACCAGAAAGCCGACCAGAGCGAGAAGCTCTGCGAGATGATCGAGTTCAAGCGGGAGTCTCAGTATATCGATACCTGCGTCTGAGTCTGCTGAAGAGCCAGCTCATCTAAGTTGCTCGCCCTTGGTTAGTATTCCTGTAATTATTCGTATCGTGGAGAATAATTGAACGTATTTCTGCCAAACGGAGCCAGGGTTACCTTACGTTTGACTTACAAACATATTATCTACGGGTCATTTGGACGTATTTCTATCAAACGGAACTATGTGCATTAAGACATGAGCCCTGAGACCCATAAGAATATGTGTATACTGTGAGCCCTGTGGCTCACGTCATTATGCACGTAGTTCCGTTTGATAGAAATACGTCCATTTGACCTAACAAATTTGACCCTCAAAAATGTTTTCCTTCAGTATATTTAACCTACAAGCAATTTGACCTACTAATATTTGACATAAAAGCGATTTGACCTACGACAAATTTCACCTATATTCATATGTATATGGAGGAATTATTGATGATAAATAAGCGCTTGATTTTTTTTACCATGTCCTCGTAGCATTAACTATAATATGGTTGATATTAGGCGCCATGGTCATTTTTGTTCCTTAAATTGCCCTTTTCTTCATGAGACCTAACAGTTGGTTTTTACGTGCCTGGTGTATCAACTTATTTTGCAGAAATTGTTTTATCAATTTGAGTAGTGTTATCCAAGACTAGCCTTTATACACGATTACACGAGAACTTTAGAAGAGGCTTTTACCATTTTCAGGCTGAGTCTTGTTCTTTCACCGCTTCGTTCTTAATTTATGGCAGCTTTTGATGACAAAATTTGGTCTGAGCGGGTTAATTTCAATTCTAATCCTAAAATTAACCGGACTCTAAATAGATTGGTCCGTTTTAAATTGCACAATTTCGACTTGTTCATTCATGCGTTTTGTTTATTCCCATTATCCCGTTTTCAGATCATCCTGGAATGTCAATTCTAGTCCCTGCTCAAGTTTATGAAACATGACCCTTCATTCGGTTTCGTTGGAAGTAGCCGTACAATGATTTTCACACTATAAATTGGAGGGAGGTTGCCAACACATATCACGTGCGGATTATGGTTCTATCTAATCAAGGGAAGGAGATTTGACGCGGAGACAAGAAAAGAGTACAAAGGTCACGCTTTTTGCCCCTTTGCCTTCGGTTTTTGCGGTAGGCCAGAAAGCATCTTCTGTGTAGCAATAGTTGCTCATTCAAGATTTGCATTTTGCGTTGGCTACAAATCTTGAAGCGTGATAAAATATGTCGAACATCAATGTAGATTTTTTCAAAAGTGCTTTATTGTTTTCTATTCTAGTCTGAATGATTGATAATAATCGAATAGTATAATAATGCATTCCCAAATTTTCATTAGGGAGGCACCGTAATGCCTCCATAATCAGTCAAAATTCTACGGAACAAGAAGTACAAATTTGTCAGAGATACCACGGAGGAAGTAGCTGAAAATTGTAATTTGACTTTAGTGAACCAAAAATAACTGAGATGAGGCCCTTTTTAACCCTGACCCTCGGGTGTTTTTAAACTGAAGGCTATCGCAAGAATGTATCAAGTACATAATTTGTGAATTCTATAAATTAACGCTAGGGGTAGATATAATGTCGTTCGCTCTTTAAGGAAAATATATTCATTTCGTCTCATCCGTGGTTTATAGCTGTTAAGCCCTCAAGTTTTTAGCTTGGATTTGAATACCGATTACACTGTTACCTCGTAAAGATGCTTTAAGGGGCCCTAGCTCGATTTTTTTATAAAATTTTATTATTTAAAAGGTCCATGCACTACAGGACCTTTCAATTCCATCTCGGCCTATGCGTAGAGTTGCTCATACAATGAGGACTCTTTATGTGAATTGTGAATATGTGAATTCAAATGTAAATAAAGTTGTTTTTATTTTTACTGTCTGTGTAATTTATTATCATTTTGCGGCCTTGAAAATGTTTAAAGCAGAAATACTTTCAAGGTGATCTTGAATACGATTTCTTCCTTGTATATGATTCGAAATATCTTTAGTGGAGCTTTAAGGATCACGTTAGCAATACAACTGAAAATAGGAGGGGCATGAGACATGATAGACGCTCTGCAGTCCGTGACAAGATATACAATATAAAACAATTTAAAAAGCGGGCAACAAGGCTAAAAGTTCACAAACAAGACCAAAAGTTTCGGCTGAAAATTCAGACATCCTCATAGTTGGATAAATAAAAATAAAAATGGTACAGAATCTAAAATAGTACCTGACTGTACCTTTCAAATCGAGAATATTGTAATTTTAGCTGTCGTAACAACATTCTCGATTTGAAAGGTACAGTCGGGTACTATTTTAGATTTTGTACCATTGTTATTTTTATTTATCCAACTATGAGGATGGCTGAATTTTCAGCCAAAAATTTTGGTCTTGTATGTGAACTTTTAGCCTTGTTACCCACTTTTAAAATTGTTTTTTATTGAATAGGAGGGACGTATTCTGACCCATTTTTCAAATTTTCTCCCAAATCTGAGCTGAGCGATACCTCACTAGCAACATAAAGCCCAGCATTGCGAGTTCACGCCCTGCGCCATCGCGCCTTCAATTTTACACATGCAACACGGACATCCATCAAGTACGAATAATTGTATCTCTGCGCCGTCATCCACGCGCCTCTTATCCCTAGCTCTTTTTTCATTTTGTGTTTGTTACCATTTATTTTATTTATATCTGGAATTGATATTGCGACCGTAAATGTGAAATTTATATCCTGATATTGATCAAGGTATTGGTCTAAGAAATTGAGTAAGGTAGGCTAATTTGATAAACATTGGTTTCAGAAGTTTCCTTTGAAAATTTGATAATGGAGAAAACACTTTTCTTAAGAAAGATACCGAAATCCAAAATTGTGGACTTCATCCCTTCAATGGTATCAAACCCGTTTATCATTCTTTTTTATCTAACACATTTTATCTGAACCTCTGTTCTCCTTAATTTGTGACGTAACAGATAAGTGATATGAACCGGGAATTGACCCTGTTGCACCCACCAAACAGTGGTAAAATTTTTCTTTAAAGAGAACTATTAAGCGGTTGCGGTAACTTACACGAACCCCACACATATGCTCAAACTACCAAACTGCGAGTCTTGATTGCAGTGTTGCAAAATTACCTCTCTGATTAAAGTTTTTTGAAGAAATATACGGGCGCATTAACTTTTTAGGGAGCACTGTAAAATGCGAAGAATAATCAAACAAAGCGTCGTACAAAATTATGATGTGGCTTTTTTAGGGAAAGGGAAATATGACAGGAGATTTTTAAAGTTTCAAAAAGAGACACATGGAATTGGTACTCTCACCATCGTCACATGAAAGTCCTCAAAAGTTCAAAATTGGTCCACTGTGAGTCCACTTTATCGGGTCGAACAGTTATTTTATCAACTGTGGCAGTGAACAAAAATAAAAAGCGTCACACTGCACTGGTAATGCGATGATATGTCCAACCATTGTCCACGAGAAGCGAGCCAAGAGGATGCTGTCGCACTGTCAGATTATTCAGCGCGGTTTCCACCCGCACAGTGGAGCGCAGTCTAACCTACACAGGAAAAGCGCCGTAGCTCCATTCGCAGAACAGGATTTTGCATTTTCCCTCAACACATACTGCTGTGCTTCTATTACGAAGAATCTTGATCCCCACCATGCTCCTTTTTGTGTGCTCAAGTTCCCAATAATTTGCCGCAGTGTTTGAAGAATGCCTATTGGTTTTTCAGAAGTGAAAAAGCTTGCCAGAATAGAATCGGAAAAAGGAATTAGAAAGACGAGGAAATTGGACCGCGTTAAGCAGAAAGGAACCCATGCAGCCAAATCAACTATTGCCAACTTTAATCAGGCAATATAATTATTTATACAAATACGGTTGTGCGGATTGTGTTGCAATTTTTAATGAATTTTTTGCATAGTGCGAGGCAAATGCCTTAACATTTTCGAAGAATCCGCTTTAAATTTCTCTCGTAAAAAATTCAGTTGCCTCGTTAAATTGGGCAATAGCTGATGTGGCTTGGTTTCTTTCTGCTAAACGCGGTCCAATTGAAGAAGAAGTTGGTACTTATGCGGCTTAATTTTACTCGAGGTTGGCAAAAATTGTCCTCTTTATGATTCTGTTTTAAGAGTTTCCCTTAATCACATTTTTTTTTTTTATTATTTGTACATTTAAACAATTTGCGCACAAATATTTTTGGATGAATCTTCCTTTTAGCTGACCTTAATCACAATGTAAATAATATGATGCTTCCCTTCGAAAGGAGCTGTTTCAAGAATGACCATGAATGCGACTCCTAGTCTGTTTTATCTACAAATTTGATGGCATGAAGTTTGATTTTATTTCCCCGAAAAAGGAAAAAGTCATCGGGGGACATTAAAGATCATTTCGTCGTTTTTCTGACCTGAGGGCGTGCTTCAATTTCCACGTGAGTCGAAGTATCACTTTCTACTTCCCGCGGCTCGCCTAATAGAGATACGCCTTTACGTCAGAGGAGTGACAATTGGACGTATTTCTATCAAACGGAACTATGTGCATTAAGACATGAGCCCTGAGACCCATATGCATGTGTGAATAACAGGGCTCACGCAATAAAGCACATAGTCCATTTGATAGAAATACGTCCAATTTGAATGCTCAGACGGCGTCTTGCTTAGCATAGCAGAAAATGACTCCTGTCTCATATACACCGCGTTTAGCAGAAGAGAACCAAGCCAAGTCAGATATTGCCAAATTTTACAAGGCAATGCAATTCTTCACAAGAGAACGTTTATGCGGATTCCTTTGGAAATCTTAAGGAATTGACTTCGTGCAAAGCAGAAAATTCATTGAAATTTGCACTTAAATCCGCACAACCGTCTCCATGCAAAAAATTAAATTGTCGCATTAAATTTGGTAATGGCTGATGTGGCTTGGTTCCTTTTCGCTTAATGCGACCTGTATGTTCATTGCGTCCCTTACTGCCGTGCTAAGGAAAAACGTCCTGTGAACCTTCAGGTGTTGCCACATTTCCTTCGGTAAATCACGAATTTTCGGAAAAATTTGTAAATGTTCTTCCTTCAATTTTTCAGATAATTTTGTTGGCAATTTCACTTAAAGTTCCTGAAAATGTCAAGAAAAAATATTCATGACTCTCTTCAAAAATAACTATTTTCAGAGACGAAATTTGGCAACTTTGGGATGTTCATACGGCGTTTTTCCTTAGCACGCCAGAATTGCGATGGATTTTGAGTCGGATTCCAAGTGCATTGTCTGAGTTTCGATTACCGCGGACGGGCTGTGCGGCGGCCGTGACTCAGATCGGCAGCGCGCCTGGTCGACGTTAACGCGGCGTCGTCGTCGTCGGAAACGCAGCGTTAGAGCATGGAAGGATGGTCCGACAAACAATAGATAAGATTAAATGAGTCAATTTCACACAGGTGAGGCGATCGCATAGCGCCCCGCATAACGCCGAGCGCCTCATCAGCAGCGCCGCCCGCCGTAATCGAGAACGCCCGACGCCCGCAACAGTGCCCACGCCTCGCCGAGAGTAATTGACTTAAGCGTCGCGACGCCTCGCGTTTTCCGTCTTCGCGTCGTTCCGGAATCGATATAAAAGTTCCTAATCGAAAAAGTTCCCGATAAGTGAAATAGTTTCTCCTCATATTGCTGTGAATAGAGATTGAAAGGTAAGCCTTTTTAATTGAAAAGTTAAATTTGCTATTTTTTTTGTATATGTTGCTTTCAAATTTGAGAAACTGAGTAATATTTTAATTGCAGGATAAATTGGATTGCATTTAGCAAAAAGGAACCCGCACGATTACAGTGTTGTTTCTTTATAATTATATAAAAAGTCTTCCAGAATAGCAAATATTTTTGACTTCCCTCTATAAGAAATTGTTAATTTTAAAGGAAAATTATCGTGTAAATGTTAATACTGTACATATATTAAGTTTTTGTAAAAGAAAAGGAGAAGTTGCACTATTTTCGAAACACTGTAAGCGCGATGGTTCCTTTTTGCTAAGTGCGGTCCTATTTCGACGGTATAAGTCGGCAATCACATAACTCGTTTGCGGTGTCTGAAAATCTCCGCCTCTATGTTATTTTTTAAAGAAGAACAAACTGACATCATTTCTTGAAGTTTTTGCAGAATTTTCTTCGCACAGAGAAGGAAAATCACGGCAGTTTTAAGAAATTACCATTGAGTGTTTTTCCGTTTAAAAAATAAAGTATGACAGGAAGTCTGCGACGTCGCAAACCGAGTTATGTGATTGCCGACTTACACCTTCGAAATGTGTGCTAAAAAGAAAAGTTTATTCATGATGTGACCAAGTGTTACCCATAAAACCCTTAAACCACTATAACAATGTCATGGTCATATTATATTACGCGAACAAGAGCGAGACTGGATATAAATAAGTGTTTTTTGTAGTATCTTCATTTAAGTGTGATTGAGTGTGATAACTTATCACCTCTGCTGTATGCAACTTTTCTCCGCTGAAAGAAACAAAAATAAAAAACCATGATTGGTGTCTTTGCCCGATGACCTATTCATTGCATTGCACTTGAATTTAAATTTTAAACAATTTTCCCCATACCTATCTTATAGAAATTATTTCCTTCAGTTTATCAAGGCTGACCAGTTGCAAGTTGCGAAAATTTTCTAAATTAAAAGTTTAGTTGCCCTTACCATTTGAATTTGTAACAGAGCTCCCGCATCAGAGGTGAACGCCAAACATTTTTGGTTGTTAAAAATTCGGTTGTGAAAATCCCACAGAAATCTGTAGGTATTGGTGCAAATGCAATTTTGAACCTGAAATTGATTGACTGCTCGGGATCAGAGTTCACCGATGATAATCAACATTGTCACTGTGTACATATTTGACACAAGCAGAAATGTTGACGAATGAACTCCACTGAACCCTCTTCTTATCAATGATTTTTCCTTTTCAATACTAAAATGTGTCTCAATCGCAAAACTTCAACAGACAAATGCATTCATGATTTTTACATGCACTATGAGTAATAACTTTCAATGTTGCAAAATGTAACGCAATGAAATTTGTAATTTTAAAAATCTTTGATTTCTCTCATAACATCACACATTCGTAACGTAGATCCCCTTCCTGAAAAAGTATGTCATACGCATCGCTGGACCCTCATCTTACAAAAATAAATCCTCATTATTTTTTTTGGTCGATATTTTTAGAAGGCCATCAAATTTTGTTGACAAATTGGAGATTGATACAATTTTTGCGCAAAGTCACGTGATATGAGACACTCTCCTTCCCCGTGCCTCGCAGTGGTTATGCTCCCATCACTCTAAAACAGACCCCCCCCCTCCCCCCATTCTGCCGTGCGAAGGAAGAACGCCGTATGAGCCATCAGGCGTTGCCAAATTTTCTCTCGTAAATCACTTATTCTAGACAAAATTTTGGAATATTTTTCTTCCAATTTTTCAGATAATTTTGTTTGCAATTGGACCTGAGGTCCCAGATAATTTCAGGGAAAAATACACGTAGCTTTCCTCAAAAATAAACATTTTATCGAGGGAAATTTGGCAACTCTCGAATGTTCATACGGCGTTTTTCCTTAGCACAACAGCATTCACCCTCGTTTGCGTGACGTAAGAGCGGTTTCCTGTGACAAAATTATGATTCATAGGATAATTCAACCGAATGATTATATTTTGAGCTAAAAGCAGACTAAAGAAAACAACAGTTGTTTAAGAACGGAGCAACTTGCAAATTATCACTTTTCAAGTTTCCGGTTCTGGATGAGTGTTTTGTGTGGCTGAGATTCAACCTCTCTCATTCTCTCCACTTCGCGTTGCAATCGATGCAAAGACATTCATAGTTAATGGCTTGTGACGATGCGCGTGCTCAGTGTGACGGTTTCCTTGATTTTCAGTGACAAATTGCTGTCCGGATAAGTGATCAATCTAGAGCTACCTCTAAGCATCGAAGTCTTCTCGAACGGCAAGCCCTTAAAACAGAGTCTGTGTGATTCATACAAAATCCATTACGGATAAGAACCAGGTTTCTATCTTGTTTATGTTTTTTTTTCTTGAGTCTCGATGCTTAGTACTTTTTGGGAATAAATAAACGTGGAAATCTGACAACGTGGGAAGCAGTTACACTGAGTCTAGTTGAATGGGTCTAATTTTTTTTCTCGTGGGTGGGCCACAATTAAATTGTCTGTCATCAGCATTAATATCAAAAATCAGCCTAGTTGAAAGATATCGATGACTGAACAGAGGTGCCACGCATTTCGATAACGGTGTTTCAAAATTGGACTGCATTTTGCAATTTGGAACTAAAATATCCTGCTCACTTTAGAAACGACGTATGTGCTATTAGTTTCCTTAAGTGCACATTGGTGTTTTTACGAGTGAGCCAAAAATTGTAGTTCCTTATTGCAAAATGACGCCCAATTCAAGTTTTTATTTTATAGTTATGAAAGGAAACCACCCAGCCCCATTAACTGTTGATTATAATAAAAAACTCCTTAAAAAATCACGAAAATTTTCGGAAAACATCATTATTTCCTTCGCCAATGGGAAGCTCAAGAGTGCCCGAACATCTACAACGTCGTAAATCGAAATACACGATTTCCGTGCCCAGTTATGAGAATGCTATTTTTTTCGAAAATTTAGAGGTAATTCACATGTTGCATTTATCACTTTCGACCATAGCAGGTAAAATAGACGATCTTAGATTATTCTGATATATTCTAAGAAAATGATTTTCGCAGAGAAATGAATGAGTCGTGTGAATGAAAGTTCCACTCCATGCGATCATAATATTTACGTTCAAAATTCAAACAAGGAAACTCGGCAATGTAGGGCATCCGACGACTTAGTCGGGATCAATTACCGTTCTGCGAATCAAAAGGGATCCGAGATTACATTTCTATCAGCGACTGCCAATGGAGATGGATACGATTTTCCGGGAATGGTAATGCTTGTCTGTGGATATGATAATGTCTCATTGCGCATTGTGTACAGTACACGCTGTCATTGTTTGATGTTTACGTCACAACACATTCAGAAGAGAAAAACGTCCTCGTCAAATTTCTTAGTGCTGATTTCAGTCATAGCCTTAAAAATCTCGAAAATTCAAATTGAATGGCCATTTCAAGGGATCTCAACTATTCTAAGGTAAAGATTTGGTTCCCTATTTGAACTCTTTGAGATTTCCCTTGAACTTAAAACTTTAATAATTTGGAGGCCATGAATGCATTTGGTGGTACAATCACAGGTAGGAGGTGGTCATTTTTTATGAGTTTTGATTCATAACTGCCGTATAATTCAGAAAAAAAATTATATGACTTTCTCAAACTTTTTTACGGGAAGCGAAGGGCAGGCGGCCGTAGTTCCGAATGGAGGCAATTTTGAAAAAAAGTCTATAGTGGCAAAATATACTCTATTGTCTACAGTGGTATACATACTAATGACTCCTACAGGGCACGCTCCTGCAGCTCAGCGATTTGATCCTGGGATCACCCTTCATTTATTCCGGCCTCGCATTTTAATCCAAAATTTTTAACAGTCCATCCAAGATAGGAGATAGTTTAATATTTATAACTTTTAAAGTTAAATTTCATTTTAGTTTAAAAGTTAGAAATTGTTTTAAATGTATGGCCCTTAATATTATTATGCCATGCTGAGGAAATCCCCGAATGAGTGTTCAGAAATGGCCAAAATCTCGCTTTAATGCTCATTTTTAGGAAAATTATGAATATATTTTCTTGAAACTTCCAGGAATCGTATATAAAACTGCGGGTTAAAATCTCTGTGAAATTCAAAGAAAAATATTTACACGTTCCATTGTAAATTTTTAGATTATTAATTGCATGTTGCAACGCATGGAGGCAGCGTTCTTCCCTAGCACGGCAGTATTGCACGTAAATTTTTCTTTTTTGGTGAACCTCCTTACACAGGGTAATTCAAAAGTCTCCCACAGCAGCCCTGTAACCCTTCAGGTTCGTGCGTATATTCAGGGCGGTCCCTTGAAAATTTTGGGGCCGCCCAAAAGTCGTTTTCATTTACCTAGGAGCAATTAGAAAATGTCGGATTTGTTCAAAAGGAATAGGGTACATGCCTGCCGCTAGTGGTGCAGGACTTTTGAATCACCCTGTACGAGTATTCTCATTTTGTGTTGGGGTTTTTTGCCAACGTGCGTTAAAAATTCAGCATTAAGCTGAAAATCTCAATACAGAGGGAAAAAGCTCATTTGAACGCAGTTTTCCCTCAAAGAGATTTGCTCCTGGATGGACGTTACTAGTGTTGCACCAAACAGCATATCTCTTTGAGAGAAAACTGTGCACAAATGAGCTTTTTCCCTCTGTATTGAGATTTTCAGCTTAATGCTGAATTTTTAACGCACGTTGGCAAAAAATTCCAACATACTGTCTTTACGACCCGTGCGTGCACCGCAATCAGTTCGTGTATTCTCATAATACCTAGTTACATTCGATTCCCTCATCACTCTCTTCTTTTTCCGTTTCCAGCTCACTTCAAGGCCCGCTCACTCCGAACGAGAGGAAAAGTACCCGAAAGCGAAGCCAGCTCCCGTTCCGAAACAACCCAGCGCATGGCGGCCTCTCTGTGAATCGACGGAGGTTAGGTCATGAGCAACGATTAACCTAACGAGCTTCCGTCACGGCCGGAGGTTATCAGCCATGATAACAGAGCGCTACGCTTTCAAGCGACGAAAAAAGTGAAAGCCACTCTGAAAACCAAACAAAAAATGGGCTGCAACGTGCATCTCCTCCTCCTCCTCGAACTTTGGATCGTGAGCGCGACCCTCGCCGCCTTCTACAAGGACCTGAAATTCCTGTGTTTGGAGTGCAGTTGCGACCGTGAGCAATTACTCAGCGACGGAGTGATAGACACTCTGGAAGTGCAGTGCGAGGAGGACCCCCACCCGCGGGGCCTTCCGCGGGGCCCACCGCGCCCCGGGGCCCTCGATGAGAGGAAGCTCCTCGTGGTGGAGGCCGACCAGGTCGTTCCTCCCGAGCGTGTTATCCACAACGTGGACTTGCTCATCCAGGGTTTGAATCTGACGTCTGTGGATGCGTTGAACCACCTGAAGAAGGCCGAGACTCCGGTGGCCTACCGCAAGGTGTCGCTGGCGACCAATGCTATCGAGAGTCTCCCGGAGGACTTTTCCACCGGCCTGGAGACGGTGAAATTTTTGGATGTTTCCAGTAACTTGCTCGCCCGGATAGAGCATGCGGCGTTTGAGAGTTTGGAGTTTTTGCAGGTAACGAGTGAATCTATTTTCCTTATATTATCGTTTCTCTCGCGAAAGAACGGAACTACATTTGGATTACATTTTGCAATAAGGAACCACTATCTCTGGCTCTCCCATAAAAGTACATATTTGCATTGGGAAATCAATGACATATACGTTGTTTCTAAAATAGGCCAGAAATAGTGGCTCCTTATTGTAAAATGTAATCCATTTCAGTGTTGTACAATTTCTACTCGCGAATTGCAACTTTACCACGCATCTCCACTTCAGACGTTGCAGACTTCCTGTCATACTTTATTTTTTCTTTGAAAAACCAGTCAACGTAATTTCTTAAAAACTTATTTGATTTTTCCTCCCTGTTGACAACATAATCCGTGTAAATTTCAATCTATAAAGTTGGTTTCTCCCTCTGCGAAAAAATAAAATAGGAACGGAACTTTTGAAACATTACAATGGAGATATGTGGTGTCGCACTTCGGCCATCGATATACTCTAATTGGACGTATTTCTATCAAACAGAACTATGTGCAGAGAGAAAGATGGGGTGTACTCGTTCGTGCTCGGGCCATAAGAATGAATGGGAAATATAAAGCGTCAGTGATGTCAGCGGCAACGACCAGAGAAACGACGATCGGGAAGGCGGTCTTTAACTCATGAGCCCTGTCCACAAGGCTCTTGTCACATGTCCACGGCTCATACACTGTGCACACAGTTCCGTTGGACAGAACGTAAAATCCTGCTTCTCCAATTTAGCAAACGGAACTATGAGCCAACTAAGTGCGGCACCCATGAGCCGTGGACATGTATCTAGAGCCTTGTGAACAGGGCTCATGAGTCAAAAACCGCCTTCCCGGTCGTCGTTTCTCTCGTCGTTGCCGCTGACGTCACTGGCGCTATATATTAATTCCCATTCATTCTTTTGGCCCGAGCACTAATGAGCACACCCCATCTTTCCCTCTGCACATAGTTCTGTTTGATAGAAATATGTCCAATTGGACTATTTCTGCCAAACGGAACTATGTGCATTGTGACGTGAGCCGTGTTATGAATATATTCTTATGGGTCTTAGGGCTCATGTCTAAATGCATATAGTTCCGTTTGATAGAAATACGCCCAATTGCTAATCCCTATGGCATGCAATAGCTAAATTTCACTGTTCTTTCCCCGTTTTCAGGTACTCAACCTCAGCCGCAACGCCCTCAGCAGACTGGACCTGAACGTCCTGGAGCACAGTCCGCTTCTGGAGGAAGTCGACCTGAGCCAAAACAAGCTCAACAAGCTCTGGTGCGAGAAACTCGAGCTGAAGCGACTCAAAATCCTCGACCTATCCTCAAACTTCCTCTTCGGGAGCGTTGTCTGCTCCTTGCCGTCTCCCGGGGAACCGGTTCTGGAGAACGTCACGACGTCAGACGTGACGTCATTAGACGCGTTATGGCTCCCGGAGCTGACGCACCTGAACCTCTCGCGGAACCAGATGGACGCGGTGACGGCGGCGACGTTCGCCGGGATGCCGCGGTTGCGGGTCCTGGACCTGTCGGCGAACCGGTTGGTCAGTTTCCGGTTCGAGCCGCCGCGGGCGCTCGACGGGCTCGAGGACCTGTTCCTGGCGTCGAACCGGATTGCTGGGATAGCAGGGTCCTTCCTCTCGCTCAAGAACTTGGAGCTCACCCGAAATGAGGTGAAGAGGTTGGATGAAGTCGTCGCTCAGAAACTAGCAAGGCTCGACGTCAGCCACAACCAGTTGTCCAGCCTCGAGGCTGTCCTTAAGGTTTCTCCCAAACTTGAGGTAAGGAACAATCCTCTATTATACACTGCCACAATTTGTACCTTTTTTTTGCGATTAGGAACTATAATATATGGCTCGTCCGTAAAACAACTTATGTGCGTCGGGAAACTAATGGTATATAAGTCGCAGGCAACTAGCAATCGCCGGTAATATGCAAGCGGTTTATACGTTGTTCCAATAAATGGCAATAATGCGCATCGGCATAATGCAATTTTTAAGGTTATGGTATTCAAAAGTATGAGCTCGGCTTGAAGCGCCTTCATTTGTTGTGATACTCTACGCTTTGTCACGATGTTAGTTGCCTGTCCGATCTCAACCCAACTAATGTCACGGAGTTCACTACACGCTCTCCTGAAAGTGCATATTCTTGCCATGTTTCTAAGGATGGAAAACTGTCTATCCACATTATAGGTAACATAATCAGCACTCTAATCTTGTTCTTTTATTTTTAAATTTCAAGATTTTCTATTATTCACCACTGGCTTGTAAATTGCCGTCGATTGTTAATTGCTTGCGACATATATATTGTTTCTAGACTGAGCCAGGAATTGTAGTTCCTTATTGCAAAATGAGGTACAGTTCATTAAGAGTAGATTTTCGAATTTAGTCAAGGTGTTGGATTTGGATCATTAATAAAGTAATCCTCATTATTTATGTCCATTTATTAAATCCAACGCCTTGGCTAAATCCAAAAGTCTATTATGAATAATAGTGTTGCTAAAAAACCTACTAAATTCAGTTCATTAAGGGTCGCACCCTCCGGCCGCAATCCTGCCGTACCTACTAAGGTAGAACGCCGTATGAACCTTCAGGCGTTGCCAAATTTCCCTTGATAAAACACGAATTTACTGGTCAACTTATCACTGGAAAAAACAACACATTGGAGTCCAGACTTTTAAAGACATCGACAAGAAAAAATATTCTTGATTAATCAGATTTAAGCTTAAATCAAGAACCAAGGCTCTAATTTGAGCGGATTTCCTTTTGATTTAAGCTTAAATCTAATTGAATCAAGAGTCCTTTTTCTTGTCGATGTTTTCAAGAGTCTGGACTCTAGATCCAATGTGTTTTTTTGTCCGCGGTGATGAATATTTTTCCATCAATTTTTCAGATAATTTTGCTCGCAATTCCGCCGAAAAGTCCTGAAAATTTCAAGGGAAAATATTCATAAGTTGTCTCAAAAATGAACATTTTATCGATGGAAATGTGGCAACTCTCAAATGTTCATACGGCATTCTTCCTTAGCACGGCAGAATACCGCGCCTAACCCCCAGTGGATGCGCCACGCCCTCAAAAGAACAGCTTTATGGATGGTACTTAAAACGATCAAAAATATAGACTTAGGCATTGAAATCGGCTCAGTGCTATTCCACGTTGGATCACGAGCAACGGATGACAATCTAGACTTTTATTATAAGATCCCAAAAGATTGGGTTTTTTAAGACAATTAAAAAAAAAAACTGGTATATCAAAAATTTGACAGATTTATACTAAAAGGAAAAATGTGCATAGGGTTCACTGGTGACTTAGTGCCTTTTAGCATAAATACGTCTAACTTATTACGTGCTGATGTCTGAACAAAATTACAAATTTTGATCTTTCCAACTAATTTCAACAAATTTAATAACCAAAATCCACATCGTTTAAAAGGAACATTTTCGGAATATTTTACGTTTTCTTGACTCTAATTAACTCTAAAATATCCAAAATAATTTCCTATTACTCATAAAGTATTAGTGGTCTTATAATTTATTACGCTGAATGCAAAATGTAAATTGAAAATGACATGCTTTCAGGATTTGGATGCCTCGTGGAACAATATAACAACTATTAATTGTTTTGAATTTTACGGCGAACTGAAGAATTTGATGTTGGATGGAAATCCTTTAATGGGTGACCGACTCAATATTTCTGGTTTCCACAAGTTGACATTTTTGAGTTTGAATTTCGTTCCTACGTTAGAGAACTTCCACACATCAAGTCTAGCGTCAGTCTTTGATCGTAAGTATTTGCTGAAACAAATGAATACCACTCAATTGCCAGTTAATGATTGCTCTGAAATCTGCGATACTCTGATGAGAGCATGTCCGAGATCACCTCAAACCGCACTTATTCATTCCAAATTATTGTGACAAGAAGGAATCCATTTGTTGAATCTCAGGCAGGAGCGAGAAACTAAGATTTTTTTTCATGGGATATCAAGTTTAGAGTCATTTCGTTAGCAACAGATTATCAGCTATAGAATATTATTGCTGGTGATAACAGCTATCTCATTCCTCGTAAAGGGACGTATTTCTGTCAAACGGAACTATGTGCATCATGACGTGAGCCATGTTATTTATATGTTCTTATGGGTCTCAGGGCTCATGTCGTAATACACATAGTTCCGTTTGACAGAAATACGTCCAAATAGTACTGAACAAATTTGAACATGGTTGCCTGAATCAAAGACATGTCCATTAAAAACTCAAAATAAGCCTTAAACGTGTCTGAAATTAGCTGTTTGGTTCAAGACTTAAAGTCTCCATAGTTTACACAGTCGGAACATTGAGGATAAACCTATATTATGATTTGTTAAAAAAAAAAAACGCCAAGGTAAATCTATGCATTTTATGAAATACAGTCCGGAGACCCTGATTGCACTTGCAAAAACACTTCCGACTTCTGAGAGACACTTTTTTTGCCTACTTCACAAGTTAAGATGAAACATTCATCTCAATTCATTACATATATTCCATCCTCTTGCTTAATGTAGTTGTAGCACCCTCAATTGTGTTCTTTACTCTACTTTTGATTACATCTGCTATTAATCCTCTTCATTTTCTCCAGCGATCCAATAAAAATTGGGTTAATTTCTATAGAGTGGTTTTGATATTTGTTCCTTATTTAGATGTAAGGACAATGGGAAACAAAAATTATTCCGTTAAAGTCTCCGAAAAAATTGTCTCCTATTAGGAGCTCAAGGAATCATTTAAGTGTGGTTAAAATGAATTCACAAATCAAAAACGCATACGCGATAATTTTTAGCTTGAATCATGAGTGGTTTTTGCATGAAAACGGATAAAAGTGTGCATTTTAAGAAAAAGTTGATAAATTCTAATGCTGTATAATGTGGAATTTGCAATTTTTTTCACCAAAATCAACTTCGAATTTAAGTTAAGATTCACCACCCACGCTTGTAAGATCGTAAGTAGCCACAGGTCATTGGAATTCTCTGACTCCTGGGAAAATGTGTATTGAATGGCTACGTATAGAAGGATAATATTTGCTCTATAAATGTTTCAGCGATGATAATGCTTGACTGTGCGGTTTTAAATATGTCTCATAATCCTGAACTCAGTAGTATTATTGGAACGTTTGCGGATAAGAATTTATGCCAAGTAAGTCCTTGTAAACTTTTATTTCTGGTTCAAGTTCGTGACTATAAGATCATATTCTTGAAAATAACATAAATTGTCGCAAATGAGTCGCGTAAGCTATCATAGCAATCAATTTTTTTCGTCACCTCGAGTTAGGTTGCCTTTTACATACTATAAGAATGCTTAACGCGTGGATCAGTATTTCAAGATGCAACTATTTTGACATGGAGGAACGCGTCTTGCCTATCCTCTTAAATGGAAGGCAAATCACAGGCCGTGGGACTGAACGTGTTCTAAGTTAGCAACAGGTCAGGGGTGACGCGGTTTTGTGTTTAATAAACTAACTTCTATAAAATCTCATGAAATAATTTCTCATGGTGATGACATTAATTCCATTACTGTATCAGGGCTTAAAATTTTAATAAAGAAATTCTTCAATTTACTTCGAAATCTCCCCCTAACCAAGACTTTTTATGATATAAACGAATTTCTGACTTCAGCTGATGAATAGCATTCTGCCAACCACCACTTAATTTAACATTTTACAATTATAATTTATATTTTTAATTATTGTATATTGTGATTCCGTTTGTTCTTTGACTTGTGCCATAGCTCCAATAATGGGGTTTTAACGCACGAAAATAAAATAAATACATTTGTAATGAAAATGAGCTGAAAAGAATGAAGTAGAAAATTAGAATTCAGGCATGGTAAAGAAGTATCCGGAGTATTATTAATAAAATTAGCCGTCTCAGTCGGCGATCCCGCGTCATATAAAGTTTAATTCTTCTTTTCTCTACAGGTTGATTTAAGCAACAACAAGTTGACGACGGTTGAGCAGTCAGCGTTCAACTGGAACAAAGTCAAGACAATCGATCTTCAGGGGAATCCGTTCGACTGTCGATGTTCGCTAAAATGGATGGTTGACTTTTTGCTTCCATTCTTAATGAAGTCTTCTCCAAGCCTGCTGAGCGATCTGAGGTACAATTTTAGTTTTTACATAGTTCAAATTTTTATATTTTACATCAGTCTAATGGAGATTAGTAATGCTATGATCAGAGCGTGACGAAATGGGTATGAAAATAATTACTCTACGAGTAGCACTGTTTTTCGCATGTATTACTGACGAAACCCGTATGTCAGAGAAATCATAGAAAGAACCATCGCTTTTTAAGAGAGAATTGTAGTTTTGCAAATTTTACATTGTGCTCGCCTAATATACTTTGGGACTTCAAAAAAAAAAAAGAAAATGTGCCCATTTTTGCATCCAAATTCAGCACTGAGCCCCTTAGGTAGGTGTATGGTTACCTTTCAGTATAGCGATGTTAAATGGAATCCTCTGGGATCAGCGGATTTCCAAAGATAACAAGAGGAGGATATACAACGCTGTAGTCAAAAGTATATTAACATACGGATGTGAAGTTTGGCAGCTGAAGAAACGGACACAGGATATGCTAAGAGCAACGGAGATGGATTTCTGGAGAAGGTCAGCAGGAATTTCTAGGAGAGATCGGGTCCGTAATGATAGAGTGCGTCAGATAATGGAAGTCGAAAATGACATCGTGTTCGACGTCATGACCAAACAACTTGTTTGGTATGGTCATGTCAATAGGATGACGGAAGAGAGGCTGCCAAAAAAGATGCTTGATTGGGTTCCTCCTGGGAGGAGACGTAGGGGACGCCCAGTGAGAGGTTGGCGACAGGGGGTGTTAAATGAGATAAGAGATTGTCAACTCCCTGATGACCTGTGGGAAGACCGAGCTTTGTGGCGATTAGGCGTCGCACAGCGCCAAAGAGCGCTATAAAAGCGACTCATATATATATATGGTTACCTTTCACAAGCGTACTTAAAGTTGCGTCGCCAAGAATTGAAGGCACAAAAAATGAATTCAAGCACACATTCGTGTCATTACAAAGGTCAGTTTCAACTTAAAAATATGGCCTCAGTTCAGCTTTCCATAGGTCATATGACCAGTGCAGTATCATTCAGATGAAAATATTACATTCTTCAAATGATTCTCATGCTTGTAGATGGTCACTATTCGAAAAATGCCTCCATCACGTTTCGAGTGAAATTTTGATGCAAGAACACGTTTTTGTAAAGTCTCAATTTTTCACCCCGTTTACTGCCGTGCCGAGGAAAAACGCCGCATGAGAATTCGAATGTCGCCAAATTTTCTCTAAAAAATATTTATTATTGAAAGAACTTATGAATATTTTTCATTGAAATTTTCAGGCGCTTTAAATCAATATACGAACAAAATTCTCTGAGAAATCGAAAGAAACATATTTTCAAATTTTCCCGAAAATACAAGATTTGTTAAAGGAGAATCGGCACTGTCTGAAGGTTTACAGCATACGACCTTAGAACGGTAGTCTAGTGCTGCCGTGCTAGGGAAAAACGCCGTAAGAACCTTCAAGCGTCGCCAAATTGTCTGTAATTAAACACGAATTCCCTGGTAAACTTATAAATATTTTTCTTCCAATTTTTCAGAGAATTTTGTTCGTACTTTAATCCAAAGGTCCTAAAAATTTTAAGGAAAAATATTCATAATTTTCCTTAATAATAAACAGTTTGTCAAAGGAAATTCGACAACTCTCGAATGTTCATACGACATTTTTCCTTAACACGGCAGGGTGCTGCCGTGCTAAGGAAGAACGCCCCATAAACATTCGAGAGTTGCCAAATTTCCTCCAATAAAATGTTTATTTTTGAGGAATGTTATAAATATTTTTACTTGAAATTTTCAGGAACTTTAGAGTAAATTGCGAACAAAATTATCTAAAAAGTTGGAGGGAAAACATTCACAAGTTTACCAGGGAATTCGTGTTTTATCAAAGGAAATTTGGCAACGCTTGAAGGTTCATACGGTGTTTTTCCTTAACACGGCAGAGTGGTCCATTGCAAAAAAGGATGAGGAGGACACGCGCATTACACGGTGTAATGCGCCTGATCTCACCCTTGCGAGACGTCGCGTTCTGCGGCTTTGGATCCCTCTTCGGGGAGGGGGTTGGTTTGAGACTCCTCCCCCGCGGGACTAGCGCCGCCCCACCCCTAACCCCCACCACGCGAGGGAGCCACGATCAACCCTCAAGCAATCACCGAGCGTTATTTTCAAGTTCCGATGAATGTCACTGCCTCCGTCGTTTTCTCATCTTCTTCCAGATTTCCCGTTCTTTTCCAGGATCTTTCACCGCAACCGTTCACAGAGGCTGCTATCTTCGTCCTCGTTTGAGGGTGATTTATGAGTCAAAGTAACGGTTAATCAACCCATTGATTCACACTGCGCCGAGTAGAAGTGATATTGACTAACTCACGGTTTTAGATGAAATAGCATTGACTGTGTGAAAAAGGGCGACAACATCGTAATTTTCGGAGAAGATAACTCTTGTCAATTTGTACGAAGCAGGGAATCCTCCCGAGATTCTTTGCGTGGAAATGAAAAACTTTCTTTATCTAACTAGAAATTTCCGTTTATGATAAAAAAAGACCACGTGCCAGTCGTAAAACCACCAGATGTGACTTTTCTATTTAAACTATGTTTTGNACAATGAGCCTGTTAGCATTGACTGTGTGAAAAAGGGCGACAACATCGTAATTTTCGGAGAAGATAACTCTTGTCAATTTGTACGAAGCAGGGAATCCTCCCGAGATTCTTTGCGTGGAAATGAAAAACTTTCTTTATCTAACTAGAAATTTCCGTTTATGATAAAAAAAGACCACGTGCCAGTCGTAAAACCACCAGATGTGACTTTTCTATTTAAACTATGTTTTGTCAATTCGATGGCCAAAGTCCGAAACCTCGTACCTCCGTTTGCGAAGTTTTGGACTCTCTGTTGCACTTTACCTTCTCTTTGAAAAACCAGTCAACGTAATTTCTTGAAAACTTCCTTGACTTTTTTTCTCTGTTCGCATATTGACGTATTTCTGTCAAACGGAACTATGTGCATCATAACGTGAGCCCTGTTATGCACATATTCTTATGGGTCTCAGGGCTCATGCCTTAATGCACATAGTTCCCTTTGCTAGAAATAGAAATACGTCCATATTATGAACGTACATTTCCGCCAAACGGAACCAGAGACAGATGGGAAAGGGAGGTGTGCTCGCTAGCAGTCGAAGACCATAAGAATAAATGGGAATTATAAAGCGCCAGTGACGTCAGCGGTCGCGAAAGGGCGTCGCGGTTGCCCTTTCGCCGCATTAACTCATGAGCCCTGTTCACAAGGCCCTTTTGCCATGCCCATAGCTCATGAGAGCCGCATTCAGTTGGCACATAGTTCCGTTTGACAGAATGTAAAATCTCGCTTTTCTATTCCTCCAGAAGGAACCAGTGGGCTGATTGTTGAAATTTATAGACAAAGCTATAGACAAAGAAGACATAGGTAGTATAGAGTGATCCTATTGATTGAAATGGTTATTTCTTATAGACTAAGGGAGAAAACTATGGACTAACTATCGGGTCTCTCGTGGGTCGCCGTTAAATAGTTTTTTATCTACCTTCTTTATCCATTGCAACCACCCACTTCCACCAACAACATCCCTCTACATCCCATTTTTTCTTCTTTATCTATAGCTTTATCTACCAATTTTGACAATCAGCCTGCAGGCACACTTTTGCATTGTCTCTTATGGAGCTTTAACGGGCACACCCCATCTTTGCCACCCGTCTATAGTTCCGTTTGGCAGAAATACGTCCAAATTACCAACGTGCCCGTACTCTCTCCATATAAGTTCTCTGCTTTTGACGATGGCCTCCTCTGTTTACGTTGCAGTTGCGCGTCACCGGAGGAGTACGAGGGGAAGCGTCTGGTGCACTGGTACAAGCGGCAGGACTTCTGCAACTCCTCGCGGAGCAGCCTGGCCCGGGGCCGGAGCATGCCGTTCCTGACCCAGGCGGCGGGGGTTGCCCCGGGGCTGGGGGTGGCCCTCGGGGAGCCCGAGCCGGAGGCGCCCTCCGCGGCGGCCATCATCCAAGACCACAAGCTCCTCATCGCCGGTGTCCTCCTGGCGGCCATCGTCCTCGTCGTCGTCGCCATCGGATGCGTCCTCCTTCGCAAGCACAAGACTCGCCGCCGCAAGGAGCATATCAAGAGGAACCGCCGCTACCCCGATAACAAGTTCGGGCTCTGAGCCAAAAGGCGCACTACACGGAGAAAAAAACTTCGTGCGTGGAGCCCGAAGTTTAGGTCATATGGATCTCTGAAGTTTTTGGATTGAGCATCCGAACACTTAAGGTCCAGCTGCTGAGGTTTGCATCACACATATGAGACTCCAGTTCTTACATCTGAAGTACTTCAGATGTGAGAACCGAAGTTTTTCGGATGTGAGAACCGAAGTACTTCAGATGTAAGAACTGAAGTTTCAGGTGTGTGATCCAAACCTTCCAGCAGCTGGACCTGAAGTGTTCAGATGCTCAATCCGAAAACTTCAGAGATCCATATAACCTAGACTTCGGGTCCCTTGCACAAAGTTTTTTTCTCCGTGTACAGTAGATCGAGTCAATTAGAGAGCTAAGACATAATTTTTTTTTGCAAAACTGCAAATTTTGCTGCTTATTGCGCCAAAATTATAAATTTTAAGGGGCGATTCTGTAAGAAGATTCCACGAAAAAACCAATGGGATCATTTTTTAAACCTTGAAAGTCTGTGAAAACGACATTTGAGTGTGTTGAGTGAAAACGACTGTGACATTTAAAGCTCATAACTCTGTTTTCATAGACTGTAAGGTCTAAAAAATGATCCCATTGGTTTTCTCGTAAAATCTTCTTACAGAATGTACCCTCAAAATTTATAATTTTGACGAAATAAGCATCAAAATTTGTAGTTTTGCAAAAAAATTCATGTCTGAGCTCTCTGATTGACTTGATTTATTTGATCTACGTGAGTTTTAGAGGTTTTGATCAATGTGACACCAAAGATTCTAGTATATAATTTTTTGACATCGTCTTCAATTGTATCTCCCATCAAAAATTTGAAGTGAGACTTATTCGGTTCTCATCCTAAAGAAAATGATCAAAAACATCCTGAACGCCAATCCTCACACGAACAGTTGCCGGAAAATATTTCGGAAAGTCATGCAAAAATCAAATATACGAGTGAGGGTACGTCACCATCTTCTGAGTGACCTACAATCTATTTTGAACTCGCTGAGTTCTCATACCAGTTCCTATAGTCTAACATTGTTCTATCTTTTATTTGTTTTAATTTAATTTATAATTTTATACTTGTTGTTTCCTTTTTAGTATGATATACAAATGAAAAGATTTTTGTGCCATATTACGAGTGTAAAATACATTTTTGAATGAATAATACATTTTATCCGTTTTAAGTTTTGCCATTTTCCAACCTCGTCAAACCAGGTTTGAAGGGCACTCTAATGCTAAAAAAGGACCCATGGAACGATTATCGAAAAATATTATAAATCGAGTGGCGCTTATGAGGCATTTTAAGTATATAGGTACTTTCCGTCCGTTTATTAACTAAAAATGAGAACGGTAATTGGAGGAACGAATTTCACTCGCTCCATCATTTCCTCCAGTCAGCAGCGATTGTTCCAACGCCCACGGTCTTACATACACTGGACGCATTTGATCGACTTTAAAATAAGTATTACTTTTACGTTTCTGAAATTGTATATGTTGTATTTGCCACCTAAGAATAAATCTTCATTAGAAGATGAATACTAATTGATAATGATACTAATTGTTCATCAGAATAAATCTTTTCCGGACAGTAAAATGAAAAGGAAGTGACAATTACTGTCTCTCAAATTCAACTTTAAAATTCCTCATATATACAAGAGGGATACTTTTTTGGTGATTTGTTTTGGTGCTAACATCGAATATTCACATGAAAAAAAAACAGAATCCCAATACATTGGGCCTTAAAAAAAAAAAAAAAAAAAAAAAAAAACCTATCGGATTAGCAAAAAATTGGGTTACTTATATTCGTTCGGACAGTCACGATTTTAAAATTAATTGATTTCAAATTTCAATAAATTAGCCACCAACTTTTAACACAAACACTAAACTACTCACGATCCGTGTGTTGATGATTTATTAACTTCTCCTGATAGATCATGCTCGGGTTTTTAGCTCGCTAATACAAGCTCGTCTCCTCGGTAATCCGAGTTTAATTCGAGCCTTATCCTGGCTAAAAGATAAAAACCCTGGCTCAGAATCACAATATCAAAGAGGTTTTTCACACCACTCCCGTCAAGGGTGGCCGGGCACTGTTGCCAGCCCGGCGTTACCATTCGAATTTTTCAAATACACGAAAAACGTTGACAAGCAACTTCCGGCAACGGTGGGACGGTGTCGCAGGTCGAGGGGCTGCATTACTGAGAGCGTTTAAGGGTGAAGTGGGGTGCGGGGACAATGCATAGTTATGAGTCTGGACCGAGCTTTATGTCAAAAGGGGCCTTTTGTCACGGGACATCTTGTTCAGTGTCTCATCCTCCTCCCTCCCTTTCACCACTGCCAGCGGGCCATCGCTCTTTTATTAACCCTGTATGAGAATATTTAATATTTAATTAGATCACGGACCTCCTGGTTTTAGAAATAAGGCTAACCCACATTTTTCGGCGCAACTAAAGCGTAATTGGACGTATTTCTACCAAAGAGAACTATGTGCAGGTGGGAAAGATAGGGTCTGCTTGTTATTGCTCGGGCCATAAGAATGCATGGGAAATATAAAGCGCCAGTGACGAAACCGTCGGGCGTGCTGACAGCGCGAGACGCGCACTGACAAACCTAAGGGGGTACTTCACGCATTGCGCAATGCTTGAAGTATCCCCTTAGGTTTGTAGGCGTCAGTGCGCGTTTCGAGCTGGCAGCACGCCGCGTCGTCGCGGCTCCTCGTCGTGGGCTTTAACTCATGAGCCCTGTTCACAACGCCCTAGACACATGCTCATGGCTCATGGGTGCCGCATTCGATTGGCTCACAATTCCGTTTGCTGAATTGGAAAAGCGGGATTTTACATTCTGTCAAACGGAACTACGTGCAAAAAGAATGAACCATGGGCATGTGTCTAGAGCGATGAGAACAGGGCTCATGAGTTAATGACCACTACGTGGAGCCGCAACGACGGTTTCGTCTTTGCCGCTTTACATTTCCCATTCATTCTTATGGCAACGAGCAGACCCCATCATTTCCACCTCCACACAGTTTTCTTTGATAGAAATAGTCCAATTATGTTTATGTAGGCGATAAAAAGTCAAATTGAAGCCACCGTTGAATACAAGCAGGCGGCGTACTGTCAAAAGGGCATGTAATGAGCGTGAGTTTAATGTTTAGCGTTTATACTGAATGTATTGGCCAGAATAACAATATCTGCCAATCCATGAGAATGTACGTTTGGCCATATGAGCCTTGAGAGGGGTGTTTTATATATAGGGCGATCCAAAAATTCCACGCCACTCCATCAGCCACAGCCATCACCTCTGTAACTTTTGAACGAATTCACACAGAGAGACATTTCAACACAAAATTTTGGTTAATACGGGAATTAAAACACAGAATAACCCTAGCCCTCGGTTGAAATTTTCAAGAAAAAATGCCAGCTAGTTTTCTTGAAGAAATTTAATAAAAAACGAGTGGTGAATACCAATGTCGCAATCGGAGAGATTCATTTTCCCGGTCTTTCTATCGATTTCTGCGCTAATTTCGACGCTAACTGCAGCATTATCAACACAAAATTCGTTCTAATTTGTGTTTCACCTCCTAAACTACCGTGCAACGTAAAAACGCCTTTAACGCCATGTTAGTTTCTTGGAAACAATGTATCGCAGCAGAAAAACTTGTGTACCTTGGGACAATGTTTTTACAGAATTTTTTCGCAAATACTATCAAGAACTAAACCTGAAAATTTGAGGTGCATGGGTAAAACAGTTTTTATTTTATAAAGTGTTAAGTTCCAAAAAACGAGGGAAAAATCTTGATGGGTTTACGGCGTTCTTGCTCAGCACAGTATAGTATAACCCAAATTAACACAAGAACACAAATATTTTTAACAGCGCAGGTAAGGCTTTGGAATTTTAAGAGTTGAACTGATTGGCTTGATTCGATCGACATAATTTGATCGACTCACGGATTTGTCGATCGATTCACGGAGTTTTTGATCGATTCCCGGATTTGTCGATCGAATCCATACCCTCCTTCGATAACACGGCAGTCTCAGTTTCATTCATCAACAATGATGGGATGAAGATGCGATTATTGCTATCCATTAGAAAGCGGGCAGGGACTTTCACCCCACCATTTGACACCACTCGAGAAGCCCCGTCGCTCTGAGAGGAGCAGCCTCCATCGGATGAACAACAACCGCTTAAAGCTTCGCGAGGAATCCGCGAGAAAGCGCCACTGCGGCGCGATCTCGCGATGATGCGATAAGATCACTTCCGGTCTGACAGCCCTTAATAGATCAAAAGTCACCTTTGTCAGGCTCTTTATTAGGCTTACCCCACCCGTATTTATCCCGCTCCAGCCCCATTGTTCCAGCGTTCTTTTACCGCGTGGCGCCAACCCCCCTCCCTCTTCACATTGGAAGGTGGGGCATTGACAAGTCTCTCAAAGCGACTGGCGTAATACGGTTTGCTTACATATGTTATACAGTAACTTAATTTGTTTTATTAAAAGAGGAGCCGGCTTTTATCGCTGCTCCCGGATCGTTAGGCAAAAGGTGGGCGGGAGCCAGGATTATGGCTTTTCGACGACGGCTAATTCGATTATTCCTGTTGACGGCGAGCGCACGGAAGATAAACGAAATTACACTCTTTCTCTTTTGATGACGCCGTGTATCGGCCAACGTTCTCCATTCGGGAGCGTTTTTTCCCTTCTTTTTTTAAAAATGTTTACCCGATGTGATTATGATTGGATTATTTATTTAAATTGTTAGGTTCTGATGCCTTTCAGAGTGGCTGTTGCAAACTTTTGCTAGAAGTATGATAGGAATTTGTGTGTGGGGAAGTGGCTCGATAATGACGATGGAAACATCAGGATCGTCGAAAATTCACTGCTGATCTCACAATCTGCGTGAGAAAATTGCGATTTTTTGGAGTTCTGCGTTAAAAAGTATAGGACGGCAAAAACATAATTTTGAGTTTTTTCGACGGCACGCTATACTAGAAATAGCCGCTGTCATTTGTCACAGTTTATTCGATTAAAACAGCACAAAACTATATAAAAATGCTTTTTAACCTGCACCTTTCAAGGAGCTTTTTTTTCTTTTTTTTGAAAAAAAAAAGAACTTTACCCAAT